ACTAGGGAGACAATATGATGTTTACACATGGGAGTCTGATGCACTTCTGAGTGTGGTCTCTAGTTGCAGCCATTTACCTATGAAAGCCTCGAGTTTATCTTTCTTTATTCCTCCATAGTACTCCATTGTATAAAAGTACCACATTAGCCTCCTCTTTTCTTATTTCAAAATAACTACTGCCATATGCCACAAATGGTGAAGCAAGAAAGGTGAAAAAGCAAAACCATTGGAGAGACAATTCATCATAAATGCTAATGTATTGCTTTTGAACATTCTGAGTCTGGAAAGCATCTTACACTCTCAAATTCTTCTCACAGTGCAGGTTCCTATTATTCACCAAAAACACTTGCAGGGCTTTCTACCCACAAGGAAGGGCTCCCCTAAAAGTTGCTCCTTTTCCAAATAAGGCCCATAAAATATATACATAGGCTTATGACAAAGTTATGCCTCAGTAAAAATTCTAGTCAATGTCTACAACATGTATCATTTTCAAAGCTTAAATTTACTCCCTCAATCTGTCAAACTCCCACCCTCTTTCTGATACAGAGAGCGTTGACAAAGACATGCTGCCGCCAGTAAGCAAAGTTAGCTACATAACGTGAAAAAGCACCACTGAAGGGAAAATTTCACGTTTTCAAATATTATGTGTTTTCCAATCACTAGCTTAGGTTATTTCTTGGAAACATAACCTCTTCCTACCGTATTTATGAAAACTTTTGATACCTGTGTTTCAACGATTCTTAGAAAAGTGACTGCTTTATATTAAAAATAAATTCCTTGAATAAAAAAGAAATAATTTTTAGAGAGTGGCTTCAAACATAAAACCATTTTTGCATACTTATACCAGTATATAGCTCAGTGTAATGGCTTACTTCCTTCTGAAAAGCCTGCCTCTTCCAGTCACTGAATAAAAGGAAATTATGATTCATAACAAAATGAAACAAAAACATACTAGAGCAGAATCTCAGCCAAGATTATTCGGGACTATTTATTATGCCAAAAGAAACCCTGCAAAACACTTTTTTTTTCTTCAAAAAACAAGGTGACAGTAGTAGCTGTATTGCACAATGCTGCCTTCAAAGTAGTTATCAGATACAAATGTGTAAAAGTGGTCAAAATAATGCTTTTAAGCATAAACTGCTCCCTTCAACAGACTAAGAGAAATTAGTTATGCAATCACAATACCTACCATGTGCACACATTTTTAAGGATGATTTACAGGATACCCTGTACGTTTTAAAATATTAAATAGGATTTCATCCTAGCTGTTAACGTTAAAGATGTACTGTATCAATATAAACACGCATAACACTGTGTACAAAACTTGCATAAAAAGCAACACTTTAAACAGATGTAGTACACAATATTTGTATTTCACATGCTTTTTATATGGTCCCCAAATCAAGTTTAATGCTACACACGCAGAGCTCTCTGCAAGTAACAGGCATTAATTTTAAAAGAGCACAGAGCTATGTGCTAAGAAGCATGCAGTGAACAGTCACTAAGTCTTCAGTGAAATACTGTATTTACATACCCAAAAGCATACATTAGCAAAAATTCCAGCCACAGTAACTTTTCACAAGATTTATTGTCAGAGGTTGTAAGTGGATATACTGGGAATAGTTGCACGCCTGTTAAGGGAAAAACTCCCAACCAAACACTCAACTCATACCTTATGCATTATCAATAGAAATTAATCTTCTAGCAAAAAATAAAATTCATTTTGTGGTACATAAAGCTGAAGATATCCTAGACCTGAGAGTTAAAGTTGTAACAGTTCTCTAATCTTAGAGAAACTGAAACTTACACACACAGCATTCTGCAAATAAATAAACTACCAAGAAAATCCCACCCAGCATAACATCACTGTGTTGAAAACTACTCAGGCCCCTAATGAAGAATGAAGCTTCAAGAAAGAACTAAGGTACCTGCTGACAATCAAGGAAGACGCATTTGATAATCTGTGTGACAGAAAACAGACACTCAGCTCCTAGCTTACGGCTATTAACAAGTCAAAGACTGTTCAAATTTTAAGAAAATTACTAGGTACTCTAAAGTTTCTGACCTTCCAAGTGAACTACATCCTGAGAGCAAAGAAATAGTTACCATGTGCTGGGTGGCAAGTTGGGGACAATAAGAAGGAATGACCCAAAAGAGGCTCAGAAAAGTAAAATATTAACAAAATAGGAGCTATCATTAGCAATTCTGGTCTACAGAGAAAATGACAAGAACATCATTAGATCGTTAGTCTTTCTCTGGAACATGTAGTTATCACCCACAAGAACCTGAAAAACCCCAGAAGCATAAAAACTAAGATGAAAACAATCAATGATTCATAATTTAAAATTATATGCATTATCTTCCTATATCTGACCTATAAGGGTAGAACAAAACACAGTGGAGTTTCTTTTTCCTTTAGGAAAACCTATTATATGAGGTGGCAGGACAAAGAAAACAGATGCCATTTCCACTAAAAATAAAATTCAACTTTTTTCCTCTGGTCCACTGAAAATATAGAGAAGATACACAGCTACTAAAAAATGTTAATAAGCCCAGGATATAGCTCTGTGGCACAAACGCCTGCCTGGCAAGTGCAAGAGCCCAAGTTCGATTCCTGACACCAAAAATGTAAAAAAAAATTAAAAATAAGGCCTGGCCAAATAGCTCAGTGGATTAAAGCGCGTGCAAGCAGGTGCAGGGCCCGGGATTCTGGGCCTGCCTTTCCGGCCCCACCCCCAGGGCGCGCTGAGACGCAATTGAGACTGGGCATGGTGGTGTGTGCCTGTAATCTCAGCTGTTGGGAGGCTGTAAACAGATAGATCACTACAAGTCCGATCTAGTAATGAGACCCTGCACACCCTGTAGACCCTTCCCTAAAATACAAAATAAATAAATAAATAAAAATAAAAGTTTAGGGCCAGGGAGATGGCTCAGTAGAATAAGCGCTTCCCTGGCAAGCGCAACGGCCTGAGTTCAGTCCCGGGTTCCGCCAAAAAAATAAATAAGTAAATAAAAATTTAAATATGAGAACTATGTAGTAACCCAGAACAGCCGGTAAGTGGAAAAAGCACAATACAAACTAATGTGTTCAATGTGATTGCAATTCTAAGTGAAAAGATGTAATGATGCTTAAGGGGGAATAACAAAACATTTTTTCCAAAGGAAAGGACTATAAATATTGCCAAAGTACATTTTAAACATTCAAAACTACTTTTATACTAGCAGTCCTGGCACTTGAAAAATGCTAAATAGGTTGTTCCTCTGAAAAAAACACAACGTAGGCACACTGCTTTATAGTCTGTCTTTTTTACGACTTCAAATTAAGAAACGGGCTTTCAAATGAGCATACTCCAAATGGTCGGTTCTTATCTGTATTAGTAGTCAAAGGGTGTACGGAATTAGATCCCGGATGTGCAAGCATCTGCTCTTCTAAAATAGTGAGCCCACTTTCAAAAAGCTTATGGCATTTTCAAAGATGTCTGCTTGCTCAATTTTTCTGAATACATTTAAAACAAACTAAAGGCAAACAGTGAAACAGTAACAGTGTTAAAAGGAACCAACTAATCTTGTTAACAGAAGCCAGGAGTTCCCAAATTAAAGTCTCTGTCTGGTTCATGTCTGAAAGAACCCTCTTTAGCCAACTTTTCAGATACAGTCTCCCCTGGCCCCCCAAGCTGATGACTGACCCCAAGGACAGGCAAGTGTTCTACTGCTTAGCTACATATCCAGTGCAACCTTTCTGTTTGGTAGGTTCCATTCATTGACCTCGAGCTATGAAAATGGATCACAACACGTCCCGGGCTGCACCTCAGTATAACTCAGCAGGGACAAAGTACTGAAAAACGTCAAGGATCACAGCAATAATTCTTTCAATTTCAATATGAAAGTGCGAACCTTATACAGTTTGATTTAACAATTGGAGATGCATTTTATCAAACTGCTGCAGGCAAAGCAGTTCCTTATCTCTTCATCATGGGGGAACTGATCTACCCCACAAGGGCCAAGTCCTCCGCAGTTTTCTACTGTGGGTCAGAACCCCGAGAATGAAATCCTTGGATTTGACTAGCTAACTGTTCACAGTCTCTTCCATTCTCGCGTGTCCCTGGACGAATCCCTCCGCGACTAGCACAAACCTAATTTCTAAAGCCAATAAACAGGTCTCTCAAAAGCTCTACCCCTTGAGGTTTCCGCTTGGGCATCTCTCCCTTAAGTCATTGCTTTGCAATCTCCAGCGAAACAGCAATGGTCGCTAAGGTAACTGAGAACAGGTTTGAACCTGAGCAAGGCGGGGGCAACAGTGAAATGTGCACCCCCGGCCTGCGGGTGAGAAGCTCCTGGAGCGGGCACACTTCCCACTGGGCGCGAGGGTTCGAGGCCCCAGGGTGCAAAAGCGGCAAAGCTGCCGGAGGAGGCTTGCGGCTAGGGCTGCCACGCTCTCAGCAGGAAGGGGAGGGGAGGGAGAGGAAGAGGAGGAGAAGGAGAAGCTGCCGAGTCCAAGGGGGGGAAGAAGGTCGGGACGGGGAGGGCGGAAAGGGGAGCCGGAGGAGGAGCCTGCGCTGGAGGAAGCCCGCGCCCAACCCCGCACCTCCCGCGGAGCCGCGCGCTCAGCCGGCCCGCGCCGCAACCCCGAAGGGGCGGGCCCGTCTCGGTCCCGGCTGCAGGGCTGGGGCCTCCTTCCTTCTCCACCCTCTCCTCCCTCCTTTCCATCTCAGCAGCGCCCTCGATCTCCTCTCGCGGCCTCATACAAAAGCAAAATGTCCGCCATCTTCCGAGGCGGCCCGGCCGTCGCGCCACGAGCACCGCTCCTGCAGCGTCGCCCGGGGCCGACCCCCCTGTGCCTGTTCTCCCCGCCAGACGCACAGCTCTGCCCTGGCCGCTGACAGCCACGCTCCGCCCGCCCAGCCCGGCGCCGCAGGACCGCCGCGGGCGGGGCCAAGGTAGCAGCCTTCGGCCCCGCGCCGCCTGCCCACCCCCGCCCTCCCGACGACCCGCTCGCTCACCTTGATGCAGTACGGGGGTTCGTCGTAGGTAACCAGCATGTACCTGTCTCCGCGGCTGGCAGGGTCTCGGGCGCGCAGCTGAGGGGCAAGGGGTGACGGGGGGGTCGCGTAGGAAAAGGGGGGCAATACAAACGTTACAGAAGCACCTCTCCCCGCCCCTCAGGATGGAGCCGCGCCTCTACCCTCCCCTCCCTTTACCTTCAAGAATAACTCCACGGCGCCTTTGGCAATATCCAAGTAGGAGGTGCCCAGGTCCGTGCGCTGGTTCATGGAGGCGGACGTGTCTATGAGGAACAGCAGGATGGGCATCTTTCCTCACGCCCCTGGCTCTGCTCCTTCTCCCGGCCCTCTCGCCCTCACTGCCACGTAAGGCCACGCGAATCCTCAACTCTTGCAGAGCCAGGGCGCAGGGAGCAAGCGGAAGAGGGCACACGGGACAGGACAGATGGGACAGCTCCTGGCCTCCGCTTTCTGCAGCCCCACCTCCTCTTCCAACGAGGGAATTTGAAAGTGTAAGCGCGTGTAGCCCTCGGGGCCCTCCCCCTTTCCCTCCCCCTGCCACCACTCCTGCTGCTGCCGCCGCCGCCGCCGCCGCCGCCGCCGCTGCCGCTGCCGCTGCCGCCAGGACTACAGCCTAACTGTCCGTCCGCTCTCCCTAGAGCGATCGCCCCAGACTGAGAACCCTCTCTGTTCGCAGACACACAACTTCTGTCTGCTCACCTACCACCGGCACCATGTGACTAGAATCCACGCCATTGGCTGTCATTTATGGTATATTTGCATATTCATTAGATGACACAGCGAGAGGCGGGACTTGGGTGAACCCTGGGAGTTGAAGTTTGAACCCTTGCAGGGGGTAAGGGGAAAAGTTAAGGACCCTTGCTAGGATTGGATTTGCCTTTAAACGACTTGGAATTCTTTGGAGAAATACTTTTGGGTGGTTTGGATGAATTTTCTCGCGCTCTTCAGAGGTAATGATTCGAAAGGAGTGAATTGAGCGACAGTTGTACAGAGGCAGATGCTCGGGCAGGCAGGGCAGAAAGCGATTTGCTGACTGTGGTCGATCCATCCGGCCAGTGGCTAAGACCAAAACTTCAGAAGTAGCAAACTTCTTTCCTAGAAGACTCACTCGTTTTCCTTCATATTCCTCCCTCCTCTTGATCAGTATTTGTTTTTCATTTGCTGGCCTTGTATTTCTTGTATATGTATATGCACTTAGGAACAGAGGACAACCTAAGGATTCCTTCATCGGCTAACCTGGCCTTTTGTATGCACTGACTTCTTCAGTTCCTTTGAGCTCTGTAAGGCACTGGCCTGCCTGTGACGATCCCGCCTCTGTCGGGTCTGCACAGCTTTTCACATGGGAGGCTTTCCAACTTCGCTTCGTTTTTACTTACATTTATTGAGCACTCAGGAAGTGCCAGGCATCTGTGAGAGACTCACTTGGTCTTTGAAGCAGTTATGGTAGATGGCATAGGATTCAATTTCTGGTAAAGGCAAGTGCAGCCTCCTGAGATGAGGGGAAGGATGAAGGATGCTGTCAGACCTGGCTCTGTGAAAGGACTCAATTATGCTTAGTTGACTACTTCAGGTGACACAATTTTTAAATACAGAGTATATATATATACATATATATGCATATATGTATATATGCATATATGTATATATGCATATATATGTATATATATATATATTTATATGTTTCTATGTGCTATGCACTATCTAGAATGCTGGGCTTCAAACCAATGGGAAGAGAAAAATCATATGTACTGTATGTGCATGTATAATGGTTCTGTTCTGGTTTTTTTCTTTTTGGAGAGTGGCCATCTTAAGCCAATTTTTTGTTGTCTTTGAGACATAATCTTGCTATGTAGTTCAAGCTGGTCTTGAACATACAGCAATCTTCCTGCCTCAGCCTCCTCTGGGCTGAGATTATAGGCATGTACCACCATGCTCAGCTGTATATATAAAATTTCTTTTTGTGGAACTGGGGATTGAACTCGGGCCCTTGTGCTTGCCAGGGAAGTGCTTATTCTACTGAGCCATCTCCCTGGCCCTGTATATATATAATTTTTGCACAGTCCATGTAGATATCCTATGCACATGTTCTTTGTAATTCAGGCTGACCTGAAACTCACTGTGTAGCCCAGGCTGGCCTTGAGCTCCCAGTAATCCTCCTGCCTCAGTCTCCCAAGTGCTGGGGTTATAGGCATATGCCACCATATCTTCAGTAATATTTCAGAGAAATGAGATTTCAAAAGAGGTCACATGGCAGTCTGAATCAAGGACAAACAAGTGTTGCAAATAAAAATTGCTATGGGAGCCAGTGTCAAATGGTCTAGAAGTTCAGAAGGTTTCACAAACAAAACAAAAAAAGGGAAGGGGGCCAGGCATGGTGACTCATCCCTGTAATCCCAGAATTTGCCTGTATTTCCAGCACTTGGGAAGCTGAGGCAGGAAGATCTCCTCAGTTGGAGGCCAGCCTGAACTATATAATGTGACCCCATCTTAAAAAACAAACAACAAAAAAGGCGGGGAGGTAATCTAGATGGAGAGGAATGGTGTGAAAAACAATTCAGCCAGTGTGATGATAGATTAACTGTGTCAATTTGAGTAAGAGAAGCTCAACTAAATTGGCTCAGCAATTCCACACCCTAAGATGTGGAAGCCCCGCCCTAGGGCAGGCGGCTTGGCACCTGGATGGTATGAAGAGGAGGTGAAGGGCCATCACTGTCTGTCTCTTTGGAGGAGCTCCAGTCTTCACCATCACCTTAGATGTGGTCTCCTGGCTTCTAGGGCGGACTCCTGAGCCTCCCATCACAGATGCACTGGCCTGCTGATATGGACTGGCACAGACACTGCAGTGAGCTCCAGACCTTGGACTGAAATTTTTGGTCTGCGATGCACAGACAGACCCTCTGAACTCTTCCTCATCTGACTCTATGAGTGGTCACTGTAAACTCATCTTGTAAATTCTTTTATACTTGACCATCTTGTGTTGTACCTGCTTCTCTAGTAAACACTGATAGAGCCAGAGATAGTACTCCACATGTTACATTTCAGGCCTGTCTGATGTATAAGGTATTAATGGGAACATAAGGATAAAAGAGGTACTAGACACTCTCCTTTCCAGTGTGATACAAATCATATTGGAGGAAGACAGTATCTACATGGGCCAGGGTGCTGAAAGGACAGGACTGGTGTATTAGTTTCCTATTGCTATATAATAAATTACCACAAATTTGACAGCAAGGTACATTTATCTGGTCGGCTGAAAGTGATACGTTATTACTCAGAATTGACTTCAAAAAATTAATCAGCCAACTAAAGGGATTGTGTCAAGTGGTTGCATAGATTGTCCTTTGGTTAAAGAACTACAAAATTTCTTTCTCTTTTCTTTTTACTTTCTTTTGTTTTTAACACAGGTTTTGTTATGTCACTGAGGCTGCCAAACTGGCCTCAAGCTCATAATCCTCTTGAATTATATGTCCCATGATACCTGCACAAATCAGAAGATTTCTGATTAGTACTAATATATATGTATAATATATATTTGTATATATAATAGCATATATATGTATATGTAGCACAATCTATATACTATATATAGTACTATATATATTTTATACTATATATAAAAATACTGTATGTGTATATTAAAATACTATATAAAATTTATATATAATTGAAGTATTCAAGTTGGGCATGATAGTACACACCTTTAATCCCAGCACTTGGGAGGCTGAAGCAGGAGAATTTCTGGGAGTTCTAGGCCAACCTGGTTACAGAATGAGAGCTCAAGGCCAGCCTGAACTGCATAGCAAGACCAGGTCTCAAAAGGACAAAAAAAAAGTATTCTGAAGAGGTCTCTGTAGTTGAATAGCAGAGAAAGGGTTCACGAATGACTATCCAGCATTGCCGAAGCCCAGCTAGTTTCAGTCAAGCCATGTTCCAGCGGTTGTGTGCATGCAGTCCTCATAGGGTAGACCTCTGGGTGGGGACAAGATATTCTCCCCGGAGCAGGCAGATGCCTTTCTGTGTACTTAGTTATTTCAAACAAAGCATGTCATTTGTTATTTTTTTGGCATAATCTCAAATGAAATTGAAATGATGTAGACACATAATCTGCAAAATAGCCAGATTTCATTAAAAATACAGAAGTGACAACATAGACAAAGTAACAACTCAGTGGATTTATGTACTTACCCTGATTTTACTAAACCCCAAGCCCTCAGCGAGAAGCCACTCTTTTTTCTGGAGGAAAGTGAACTCTGCACTATACAACACAGTGTGCAGATGTGTTTCTTTGACACGTGTCAATACTGAAACTTCAGAGTTCTTTCTATATCTTTTTCTACTACAGAATATTAGCCATCATGTGCTGCAGGGTATCTGTGTTTTGGATGGGCTTATCCCTCCTTCTAGGATGTAAATTACTTGAGAGTCATCAGAGCTGGTAACCAATGCCTTGTACAGACTATCTGCTGAACAAATGGTTGTTAAAAGAAATTGTTGGTATACCGTCTTTTCATTCTTTCGCTCTTTCCAGGTGCTTGGGTGTTATCCCGAGGCTCCTTTCCTAGTGCTACCAAGCCAGCCCTTCTTGCCCCATCTGCCAAAGCCTACGCAGGCAGGATAGTAGATCCAGCTCCCTGTACTGATAACCTGGGGCCTTTTGGATTTGAGCCCCATGAGGCCCCTTCAGGTCAAGTTTTAGAATTGACATCTTGTCCTAAGCTCAGCAGCTTCTCTTGTGCTCTACTCATGCTTCCTTGTCCAGTGGCTGTTTGGGGGTGCCACACTGCTTCCCCAATCACATTTCCATCCCCACTGCTCCAAATTTCAGGCTTCTTTCTACTGTCAAGCCTTTGGCTAATGAAATGCTTCCTTAAATGCTGCCCTATGATGTGCACTAACCACCTTGCTTCTCTTTAGTCTGCTCATGCTTTTTGAACCTGTGAGATCTGGAACTTTCCTCTTCATAGCTCTGCTCTTATTAGTAGTCCAGAAGTCAATTCAGTTTTCTTTCTCACCACTGGAGCTCTTTCTGCCCTATGTCTGGGGCCACCAGATGCCTCTTAGGGAAGAATTCCAACCATGTTGGGGCTTCATTCCTTGCGTTACCTTCATGTGAGGGCAGAAGACTGCTTCATCTTTATATTTTATGTGTCTGGCCATGGTGCATCACCACATGGGAGACACCTTGTTTTGGTAAAGGCTGCTTTGACTTCTCACTCTCCAAAGATTTGCTCTCTCGTGCCTTTAAGCAGACCCTAATCACATCTTGGCAAGAAGGCCTTACCTAACTCTCTCCCAAATCCTGCATTTCATGGCTGGAGGGGAAGGGGAAGGGAGTAAGATCTGCCAGCCTGCTTTCTGCCACCACCCTTCACCCTCAAGTCCAGGCAATTTCATTTTTCTCCCTAGCTCACATGGAAACTTCTTAGATGTCCCCAGTGGCCTGACCCTGGCCACGTCCATTGGTCTGGTCTATATTTGCCTTTGTTGATGGGAGAGCTACTTGTTCTTGCTTTGCTGAGCTCCCCAGCCCCGCTGACCTTGCCTTTCATCACCTTTAATTTTTCCTAAAGTCTTCTTACTCCTTGGATTAATTTCATTCCCCTTCACTTACTCCTAAGCTTAACCCCTGGCTTGCTCTGTGGCTACCTCATTGCCACTCACTGTTGCCCCTTTTGAGATTATCATCTTTTTTAAAAAATGTATTTAATACGGGGTCTACAGGGTCTTACTACACAGATTGGACTCGTAGTGATCCTCCTATTTTCAGCCTCCCATGAGCTGGGATTTATGGTATGTGTGCCACCATACCCAGTCTCAATTACAGTCTCAGCACGCCCCAGGGGTGGGGCTGGCACAGCAGGGGATTGAACCCTGGTCCGCTGTGCCTGCTAGGCAGGCACTTTCGTGTGCTGAACTATCTGGCTGGCCCAGACTGTCTTATTTCTGTACCTTTAATTCATTCAGTCATTCTTTCTTTCTTTGTTTCTTTCTTTTTTATTTTTTTTTTCTATACCAGGGATTGAATTTAGGACCCTACGCTTGCCAGACAAGTGCTTATTCTACTGCACTATCTCCCTGGGCACCTCAGTCATTCTTTGTTTGTTTTACTCAGATATTTCTTGGGTGGATGGATCTTCTATAGGGCAAGCAATGAGGATACGCTATAAAGCAAGTGAAATAGAATATTGAAGCAGTTCAGAGCTTGGATTTGCGGGCTTCAAATAAGCTCTGCCATTTACCAGCTATGTGACCTTGGGCATGTTATTTGACTTCCCTCTGCCCCAGCTTCCTCATCTGTAGCAAGGCTCAATAATAGCACCTCATAAGATTGTTATGAAGATTAAATGAATTACTATTTATAATGAGCTCATAGAAGTGCTTAGCGCAGGGTAAGTGCTACATAAGTGTTAAATAAAAGCAGGAAGAGTCCATGCCCTCCTAAAGTTCATACTCTAATGGGGACTAAATTAAAAGACTAGATGCAATATTATATTAAGTGCTGCAAGAAAGGAAATACAGGATGGTATGGAAATACTAAGGAGAGACATATTCTAGAAGGGTGGAGAGGCCAGGAAGACCTCTAGAGATTAT